GCTAAACTATGTAAGGCTCAACCGAAATTTTCGTTCTCTTTTTTGTTGCATTTTGGGCAGTCTCAAGTACATGTACACGCGACTTTACCTTGCTTTGATATTTCAACTGAGGTGGCGAAAAAACTCTCAAAATGAGAATCGTGTTGCGTTTTTGAGAATTTCTTCTGGGCGTTGTACAGTAGCGAACTTGCCACATTGACCCTTACAACTAACTAACGCTGTGACCATCAGCGTATATCAATGGTAAGACTAACAGTGAAAAAAGAATTTCTTGCGACGAGAATTCTGCAGTGACGTGTAGCAACAATTTTTTTGATGCACTTACGTATCTGACACAAGCATGTTAGAAATGAGCCTGATCCTGCTTCACCTCTTTCCAGTAGTCTTCGTGAACAATGAAGATTTCAGACTTTGTTTCCCCTATGCAAAAAATGATGGCAGTATCATGATGGGCTCTGCCTACAAGTTCAATGTGGGTTTAGAGGTTTTTCGTTGTTTTTTTACTATTTAGTCAATCTCATCGGTAATAAAACTATAAAAAGGCCTCGGTTCCAACCACCATATCCGCCGGGGGCATTAAAGAATAGTTTTTGATAGGTGCACTTAATCCGATTTGCGTTGGAGGGAGACCGTGAAAAGGGCAACATAGCTTCAACAAATGGTATCAATTCGACGTACCCAAACATACATGCTCCGCTTCCCAACCTCGCGGAAGAAAACACAATTGTGCCATTATGAGGTAGGGATCGTTGGTCTCAAGAGATTAGGAGGTGTAGATTTTACTTGATATGAAGGAGTCAGGAAAAAGGAAACTTAGATCTACGAAAATTCTAGGCAAGGACGTACAGTATACTTGGGGCAGCCCAGACAATGGTGAATGGACGCGTGAAGTTTGGTCGAGGGCAGACCAGCCAGTGTGAAGCCAAATACTGCCTGCCCTTCACCGCTTCACCTGATGTTTGTAGCCCGACGAGTCAACGTGAGCACGCACCCATCAAGAATCACTCCCATCAAGAATCACTCCCATCAAGAATCACTCCCATCAAGAATCACTCCCATCAAGAATCACTCCCATCAAGAATCACTCCCATCAAGGATCGCATCACCTCAAAGTCGCTCTCAGCACCATATCCCACTTTCCAGGCCGAACGATCTTTGACGGCTCAGGTCACCTTATTGGTCAGCGTCACGAAAATCCTGCCTGGACGGGGTCCTGGCATTGGGTTCGCGAATGAGGGAATCATTCAGACAAACTGCCTACTTTTAACATATGTCTCGTGCAGTTCGAGACGACCGCTTTGAATTGGCTCATCAGTGGGCATGTCGAGGAACCTATTGCGTAAAGCGATTTTACTAAATACGACTCCAGGTATGGCCTACGAAGGGCTTTGGATCACCGAATTGATAATGTGATGATTGCATTTCCCAGTGCGCTGCTATGGCTCGTGCTTTAGTCTATCTACTGTGCAAGTCTTGGCTTCTTCAGTCCCCAGGGGAGATGAATACTAGTCCCTAGCACCACGCAAAGGTGCTTGCACATTGCTAGGGAGCCTTGATTTCGCAGATGTCCCTGCGGAGGCGCTTGATTTCGCAGCTGTCTCCTGCGGAGTCGCTTGATTTCGCAGCTGTCTCCTGCGGAGGCGCTTGATTTCGCAGCTGTCTCCTGCGGAGGCGCTTGATTTCGCAGCTGTCTCCTGCGGAGTCGCTTGGTTTCGCAGCTGTCTCCTGCGGATCCTCTTGGTAACGCATTTTTTCCTTGCGGAGAACTTATTTGACGCAGCGGTCTCCTGCGGAGAACTTGGTAATGCAGCGGTCTCCTGCAGAGAACTTGTTGACGCAGCGGTCTCCTGCAGAGAACTTGTTGACGCAGCGGTCTCCTGCGGGTCTCAATTGTCATCACAGCGTCCCCCTGCGGAGTTCACTTGGTAACGCAGCGCCCCCCTGCGAAGCACTGTTCTTATGTCACTGGGCTTGGATCAGCAACAGCCGTCGTCACGGAAGCCTCAGGCCCGAAGGTCCGAGGCGACACACCGCGGCCGCGATGTGTGAAGAAAGAGAAATAGATCGGGGGAGGAGCCTGCTTTTATAGACTTCAGCTACGCTTTCTCGCAGATACCAGCAGTGCAAATCTCTCACCGGGGACGTCGATGCAATGTCTTCACCGGCCTTGACCCATGAGTTGGACGCTGCTGGCGACTGGATCGCCAATCATGTTGCGCCAGACAGCACCACGACCGTTCATTCCACCTGGGTGTGTAGTATTCCTGACTCACAGAAAGTGCGGGTCGAATCAGAAAATTGGCGCAGTTGCAATCGGAGGGCAAAGAGCTGGCTTGCCCATGGTTCACAGTAGTGGTACGGTGACCTCAAAGAAGTGAGTCGGAATGAAAGTCCTCGGCATTATGCTGCGCATGCGAAAGTGCCATGGGGGAGGACTGTGGTCAGGCCATTGGTCTACTTTGAAGAGGCTCGTCGAATTGCGTGCGGCTTCCATGTCACCTCCGCTTGACTATGCCCAAGTTCTGGCGGCTTATTGTGAAGTACTGAGGTACGCGGCTCACAGGTTTTGTGTTTGCTGCACATTCAGAGAAGAAACGCCTACATGATTGCTGTTCAAGGGTATTGCTTCATACATCCATTACTGGACTTGTGCAGAGTCCCATGTGTCCACATATTCTACTTAAGGGCTGATATTAGTGACCAAGATTGGCAGCGGAGGCTGCAGAGAGCTCTGCGTTCTTGGTGATTGTCAATATACTCCGATTATGGTATTACTATCAAAAGGCCATGACATATCAACTTAGTGAATAAATGTCTCCAATTCTCAACTTTTGGCGGGATGCACTTTTGTGTCTTTCGTAGAGTAGTGTATGCCCGGCACCCGCTACTTGAGGAGCGGTCCTTTTTGCTGGAACGGCCGAAATGTAATGGAAAGCGATTCCAACGACGCCGTGGAGAGTTTTCAGGCGTCGCACAAAATTGAGCAATCTCTCATTCACCATCATTCTCTAAGGGCTTCTGGCTTTCCTCGCTGATCATTCACTGTCGTTCACTCAACGTTGAGGCAACAGAGTGGATATGGTGGCTCCACCTCGACCCACGGGCCGCACCGGTGTGGATCCAAGGTACCCGGTGTTGGCTCAACTTAATGACCATGCATTGTTATGGTCTTGCCAATTTGGGCTGCCCACGGTTCACATTATGCTTGAGGATGAATGATAGCTTTCACATTCCCTCCAGAGCGTGTGTTATGTTCACACCTCGTCCGTCCACACAACGGTGGTAGAAGCGGAGCGAGCAAATCCATTTTGTTGTTTGTAGGTATTTGTTTTTCCGCTAGTTAACGGGTGAGAGAGAAGTCAGGAAAGTAGTCAAGTCGGGAATTAAAATGAGGGCCTCATGGTGCTCGCCTCAACTTTCACTTTGCCACAAATATCTGCCGTTCCATATACTGTTGAGAGAATTTTCGTCTGCTCATGCTCGTTGAGTCAACTGATTCGCGAGTGAATAAAGTTTACGACCTCCTTTTCTACATCCCCAATCAGCCTTCCCCGGACTAAACTCTACTTCGATGATTCCTCCTTGACAACTATTTGTCATTCTTCATACCTCATATTCTTGGGACGTCTCATGTTTGCTCATCGCTGTTGAGTGCTTGAGGGATTTCTTTGTGGGGCTCTCTGCGCATTGAGCCCTTGGCCTTTTTGTACGGTTTAATCCATGGTACAATATCAAGATTAGGCTTTGGGCGCGAACGCACGTTCCAAATACACGCTGGACGGATAGATCCCTGCACATCATCTCGCTTCGGGGAGGGTAAGGTTTCGGGAAATGCAGACACGGCATGGCTCATAGTACTCCGTACCTCGTATATATGAAGCTTCAACGGAGAGGACTGTATTGTACTGATCTTGGTGATGGTGGCTATTTGATTTCGTCAAGTTCTCACATGTCCTCTGCAATATGCACTACGGCGGCATGTGCTTTTTGAGCCCTCCCCTCTAATACGTCATCGTTTGGTTGAGGCAAAGTGGGCTTTGCGGTGTAATAGTGCGGGAAGAATCGTAAAGTTAAGCGAAGCACATAATTCTGGCAGTAGACGAATCAATAGGAACGCCGCGCTAGCTTAACTTGGAACCCAGTGAAACAGACTCTGACCTTCGAACCATGGAACCTGAGTGTCGCGACGGGCGAATCAGGTAGATCTAGCCAAGCCTCTATTGATGGCCAATCGGGGAGATCACGAACCAAACCCATATGCCCCCCCCCCTCTCAGCGCCATCTCGGTGATTCTTGCGAAAATTTTTATTTTTTTGATATAAAAGCTAAACAGTGTTGGGAATACTTGTCGGAGTCTCTAAACCCGGTGGGGCGAATAATGCCTTTGCTATTATACCCCAGGAAGTTTCATCTTAATAATGTGGAATGAATTCATTCCGAATTATCTTTTTAACCCGCTTGACGTTAAATGGCGCAGATCCCTGCATGTCCGTGCGTCGACCCAAAGAATGTGGGGCATGTGACCATTATGGGCAAACGCCAGTTGGGAATGCATCTGGCCCGTTTTAAAACTCTAGGCCTATGAATAGGCTAAAGATCAACCATTCAGTCATTCTCTTCCAGCCTCTATTCTTCAGTTGAGAGCTGAGGGAGACAGCATGGGCCACGCGAATTCATCTCCGCGCTCAAACAACAGGGCGTTTTGTGTCAGTAGAGACTACGGGTTTGGTCAGCGTATTTCAGAAAAGATTCAGTGAAAAAAATAAAAAATAAAAATAAGCGTCCAGAAAATGTCTAGCTAAACCCAAAATGCTTTGGACAGTGGGATGTCGCAAGAGCTGCTAATCTCTTGCTCTGTTCGGTGTGCGCGTGGTAATAACCCCCCCACCCCAATATAAGGTGGACACACGTGCACGCACGTATCGGCCAAGACTCAGAGACCACCTTTTTTTCCCATTGCTTTTTATTTTTGAGTATTTAACTCAAGTACCTACCTAGTCATGTCCGAGATCACAGATGAGGATATTTGGGAGCTCTTGGAGGTTTCTGGAGCTGCATCGCGACGGCCTTGGAGTTCAACGCGACTCCGAGGCAATGCCCAGCGAGCCACTGCTCGACCGGAGTCATGTCGAAAGACGGCCCCCTCGGCTCCTCTGACCGGAAAAAATCCTACGCCTGGGTCGAGACCGCGAGTTGAAAAGCCTTTCTCTTCCAATCCATGTCAACAGTGTGTGATATGTGGGCGAGCAATAAAAGCTGCTATCCAAGAGGGTGATGCTTGGAAAAGCTTTCACCAACCACTGGAAATGGATGATAGTAAATCTCAGCTTCAACATGCTGAAAAGTACCCCGAGAGGGAATGGATCGCCATCATTCATACATGCTGTTGGGAGGTTGCCTGGCATGTTATGGGCCGTCCAAGTCTTCACTGCTCTCTCGTCGAAAGTTTTAAATCCCATATCGTCAACTTGAAACCTTTTATTCAGACCACACCTTTTGACTGTGAGACGAACGATGTCGATCACGAGCTTTGGATAGAAACACCATCTGACGCCAGGATTGAGTCAGGTGAACATCAGAAAGTCCGGGGGATATTCTCTTCTGTCTACCAAAAAGATCTATCATGGATCGGACAAATCCCTGGACCTATTCACTTAGAAGATGTTCACAATATGGACAAATTCCTTGCATTCTGTCTGATGAAAGGGATTCCATATCAGTTGGCAAGTGACAAGAATACGAATGTTCGACCTCATCTTGAGAGAGCACTGCAGAGTTTTAAGACCAGCAGTCCGCGGCGATTACCCAAGACTTCCAACTTGAAAATCGCATGGGATAATGCAAAGAGTGCCTGGGATGCCTTTACAACCTGCCCTCCACCACAAATCTTGCCCCTTGATCCTGAGTTGCCTGGATTAATAGCCGTCAGAAAATTCCGTATACCAGCTGAGAGATGCCACCGTGTTCAATTCGCTTTCACCTCAAACACAGGGACTGGCATATCTTTTGATCCCGCCATGAGTCTTGCTGCATTCTTATTTGATGGAAAATTGGCTGGCTCACAATCTCCTTCTGCATCAAAAAGATTTGCCCTGAGAATTCGTTCTTTCAGGGGTATTCGATTCGCTCTGGCCAAAAACGACGATATCACAGCGGTTCGTATTAAGGATGGCCAGAGGTGGAGCGTATGGTATGGGACACCCCAATATGGAAGCAATGATGTTGAGCACGAATGGGATTATGACAAAAAAGACCTCATCTTCAGTTATGATGTATGTACTCCAGGGCGACATTTCCTGTGTATGTTCTCCACTGACGGCAACAGACGAAGTTGTCCAGGATTATAGGAATTAGCGTCAAATCGCACTTTTCGACTGCCTGAAGTTTTTCATTTATACTACAGCGTTCCGGTGGGTGTATTTGTATTTCCCATATTATGACCGCTATGTCAGAGTTGGAATGCCCATGATTGGTTCGGTTCAGTCTTAAGCATGCAATATATCCAGATAAGCCTTCGTAAGATTTTCAACAGATACAGCTCTCTTGGTCTTCCATCGACTTCCTTTAGACGAGACTTTTAGTATTTGATTGATCATTGTGCACTGGAAAACAATAGACATGGGGCACAAACATGTAAACCTTGCTACCAATAGCTGCCACACTACTACCTCTAGGCACACCCAAAGCAAGGGCTTTATTACAGCTTGATCGCCCATCGGCCTCAGAAGTAGCAGAGTCCCTTAGGGGAAGTGTCAAGCTGAAGAGGAGTGGATGTATCACTTTTCTCCTCTAGGACTAGAGTATACAGCGCCCACACGCAATTTCTATGCATCTCCCTGGAAATCTCAGATAGTTCTGCAACCGGACATCAATGGGCCACCCTCTATCGGACATCCTCAATACTAGCTCATACACAAACCCCTAGATTCGACATAAAGTAATATCGATTCCATAGATATTTCAGCGAGATGAAAAACATTCTCTATAGTTCAGATTGAAGGTTCTGGAAAGAGAATACGAAAAGGTATGTTCCTTAATGACCTTTGTAAATTTATATGCTTCCCCAATACATGTGAGCAACGCTTATTGGACTTGAAGTCCCGTGGGAGCTAAATCCCAATCATGGAGTTAGACCACGGTCGAAACTGACAAGATCGATAAGTCATAAGCCAATGTCCACGCCTCGTCATCAATCAATCCAGTACAACAATACGCGTAGATCGTTCCGGCGTTTGTTCTTGGTCCCTTGCCGCTTGGTCCTCCTGAGCCCGAGAGGTCCGTGCTCAATACAACGCCAACAGGGGCATCAACCTCGACAAAAACAAGGCATGATCCTTGTATAGACCACGCCCAATGATGCGTGTGGCCTTATGTCGCCAATGGCCCCCATGATTCCAATCGCCACTGCTGGTCAAGATTCAAGACTATATGCCCAAACCACCTTCTCAATCTCCGCTGTTCCTAATTGAAAATGCAATTAGGGGGCAAACAACGTGACCCGGATTTAGTCAAGCGCTGTGGTATCTCAAGCGGTTTTCAGAATACAGTCAGTGAAAGGATTGGTTGGGGCTCGTCTCCATTTGTACAGAGAGAATCTCAGAACACTTTCTGGCTCGGCCCTGGAGGGGATTCTCTGCCAATAAAATGCCAGATCTCAGGCACCTCTCCAGTAGAGCGCTTGCGGGTCTTTGGCTGTCTTTGAACGAATTTTCACAATCGAAATTGATTGATGGCCTTGTTATATTATCTGTAGAATGAACATCCAGTCATGATCACCCTGTAATGGAAAGGGGTACGGAATGGTCATCAGGAACAAACGAGAGGGGCCGGGTGAACTAGTTTTCAGCTTTCTAAAAAACACTTATTCGATCTTCAAAGCTCACTCCCCACATGAATAGCCTGGATTTCACTAGAAACAATACCTAATTCACCAAGCCCGATCTTGGCAGCGGAGTCGATTTCTAGCTCAGTTCAATATTAAACGGAAAGGGCCCGGAGGAGACTCTGGGCTTTGAATCTGACTGGCGATAGACTGCAAATCGGAACAAATGTTCAATTCTGGGTCCGCGCTGACTGGAAAAGTCTCTTCGACACTCGCCATCTCGGTTTGAGGTGGTTGATATTCACAAGTTCTTTGTGTGTTCTCCTTGCTCATTCCATACTCGAGTAGAGTTGGGTTTGCGACAGTCGTATCAGCTGGCCTATTGTTAGTGTCTGGTTGGTCTTTCCCAAAGTCAACTTTTAACACCAACAGCCCCGTTCGTGCCGTTTTGGATCGCTGTTTCTTGGACTTGCATCCCATATGAACACCCATAGTACGAGCCTGCCCGGATATAGAAGAAGCACTTCGTCCTTTGTGATACTCTTGTTCATATTCTTGTGCTATTCGGGACCAGCTCATGTGTTTTCGTGAGGCTAAAAAAGCCCGAAGTTGCCCTCTCTCCGAAGCAGTCCAAGATGAGATTCTTCTTGGTGAAGAAGTCTCCGATTGACTCTGCTTCACGAGAACCCCAGTCAAGCCACTGTCGTCCCTTATTTCGCTATTTCCTTCCAAACTGATTTCACACTGCTCACGACTCGATGGACTGCCGTCAGTGTCCGAAGAATTTCTTGAACCTGAAGCGGCATATGTTAAGTCTGAAGGAGGTACGCCCAGGTCGCGAGTGTGATCCTTTTCTTGAAGCATACGAAGTATACTCCGAATCTTCCCGTCCACTGAGAAGGCTTAGTCCGCGTTTTTTTTGAATGCAAAAGAATTGCTCACCTTTCATAACATCACCTTGCAGATTATTCAGATCTGTAATTATTTGCAGTCTCGTCTCGTGCTCTTTTTCCACATCAACCGCCTCGGCTGGCGCCAGTAGAAGCTTCTGAAGAACACCTGAGCAGAGCGTCGCGCGATCACTTTCCCTCATTTCAATTGTCTTGTCCCAAACGCAACATCGAACAAGACCACCACAAGACTCAAATTGATCCGGTGAGATCTCTGCACAGATCAAATCCGTCCAACTAGGATTGAAGTTACAATTGAGACTCGTAGTAGATGACTCCACGACGCAGGGACTGAGGCTGCTAAACAGTCCGCTAACTCTGGATTCCATTCGACTGCTGAACAACGGAAAATTCAGATGCCTAGCCAGACTCCCGTTGCAATTGATCACGGCAGTGTACGATTCGAGAAGGCTTGAAATTTGCTGCAAATTTTTACGCAGCGGTTCGAGTTCGCATAGATGGCCGACTTCTTGGTCAACGAAAAAGTTGACTTGGTTGGTCATATTGCTGTTTGTAAACGTTCAAACTAGACTTGATCAAGAATGAAATCTGGTAGAAAGAGGATTTGGGGAGAAAACTAACTAACCATCGTTCTGTCATCTCGGCTGCCGTTTTGATCCAATACTGTCGGCTCGACCCATCTGAGTTGGATCCATAATTGTATTAGCGCGATAAATAGTCTGTAATTAGCCTGTCCAATTAGATTCCTTTTTTTTGTCTCAGCTCAGAGCAAGGATGATTGTGGATGGAGAGGGAAACCCCGTCAAAATTTTTACGTAATGACGGCAAAATTTAATTGTTATGAGCGCTGGGACCATTTCTGAAACTCACGCGGATGATTGCAGCCATTTTATTGCGCGAATGACGCAGGTCAATGACCATGAGATTAGAGAGCCTGGCCCTCGTTCATCCATTGCCCATGCAAATAAACTCTCAAGGCACTTTTCATTCGGAACGTCACCCTTCTGCTCCAAGGGTTTCGCGTTATCGAAGGAAACCCCATAAATTATTAGATATCTGCATCACGTCTGGGAAGTAAAAAATACCATTGATTCTCACTCCAAGAAATTCAATTTTCGGCCACTTGTTCATTTCAAACAAAGGACGTGTCTGACTTGACCGGAAAGTTTCCATGTGACCCTCGACAAGATGAATTTGACGCAGCTGTCGCACTGCAATCAAGCGAAAAGAACACTCCAAGCAAAGTGCCTACAATAGCCCATATCGCTCTAGATCAACATATATCATCACATGCCGATTCTAATAGGCACAGCCAGATCATCGAAAATCCATGTGGAACCACGCTGGCCGGCTCTGAAGGTGATCCACCAGCTGGAACTGGTGTATGCCGAGCCTATCTAATATGCAGACGGAAGCTGCCTTATTCGTAACCAGCATTCTTGATTATGGATTCAAAATAGTCTACAGTACGGGTTGCCACGACAGTTCTCTGAGGATGGTTGCGGCGAACAGACCAGAACGGCAGTGGGTCGTATAGAAGGCACACGTGCAAGATATACCTACCATGTGAGTCAATTTTTTTCCCAACAAACTCGTCAATGGAAAAGGTTAAGATGACGAATATCACTACTTGGCTCGGATTGCAGGGCCTCATACCCTCCATCCCTATCTAACGTCTCACTCTCGCTACGCTGAATGAATTTGTGTGTTCGAAGGATTCCGCGAGTTTGGAGATATTCTCTCTAGATATTTTTTTCTTGGGGGAAAGATCATATGAGAGGGTTTCTGCGCTAGAATGAATGTATCATGAGCCGAGGCCTCAGAGGGGCTCCGGTCAGAACGCCGTCCATCCACCCTTGACCTTTTCTGCTACGTCCCCGCCGCACATTCATTCTTCAGGGAAGGGGCTGACACGGCAAGAGCAAATTAAATGGGAACGAAGTCAAACAACACTCTAGATACGACATATCGAGATCAATCCAAGTATTCTAAAGATTGGGGGTGAGTGACAAGGGTAGGGATTCTAATAAGCAACTGAGGTTACGCGTGGTAGATATGCATCGCGCGTGGATGTGTCAACTCGCCATACTTGGCCCACTGACCACCGCTGTTGGCGCGTCGATATATGAAGTCAGCCTTCCGGAATGCGATATTTCTTCTGATCGTCGCAAGATACAGGCATTGCATCGGCATAATTGCCACTTATTTGGTATCGAATCACTTTTCCGAACTGCGGCCTCGCCCGGATTTGATTCATTGCCCAAGCGCCCTCGAGCCGGGGGGCGGGGTCCCCCAGAGAACCCCTTCAGGGGGGTCGGCGAGGCAATTTCCAATTGCCGGGGGTGCCTCCCATAGGCGACGGGCAAGACCAACCCACTATCTTCGTCTTGGAACTTTCTCCAATCCTCTTGTCCGGGAAATTCGACAAGAGTCAGTTATTCAGATCTCAGGAAGTGAAATTCAGTGTTTAGGCGTGTGGTGGCGACGTCCAATGTTTCCGTCCGAGCCGCGCGGGTTATCGTAGTGAAAGGTCCCACGCTAAGCCTACTGGCTCTATGACTCCAAGGCTCTGTTTGGAATCAACCTCGTTCTATGGTGCCAAATCCCAACTTTGAAAGATTTAAAACGATGTTGTGAGGAGAGATTCATTTGATCAGAACCTGGAGGTTGATTCTTGAAAGGCCCCCATTCCCAAATGATCCGTAGGAATATGAGGCTTTAAGTAGGTAGAACGTGTCCATAGTTGTCCGCTCCCTTCGGTCGCTCCCAGTGTGCCCGCGGGAACCATTCTAGACTTTCCCTCCGGGGGTTGTGGCGTTTGGTTCGGGCGGGCCTTCGGTATACGGGGCCACCCTACGGGTGTCGGCCCTCTCCGGCCCTGGGCGGGAGTTGAATGTCAGTTTTGTGATTACGTCCCTGCCCACACGGAATACGCTGATTGGACCGCCCAAGCCCGTCTGATCCCTTGTCTCGGGCCTGTCGGAGACTTCCACTCCTTGGACCCAACAACAAAAACTCTCCAGAAATCCCCGAAGTTCCTGCGAAGGCGTTCCCCGCATTCCCCCGAGGGCCGGTTTGCGTCCCCGGATTGCCTCACAGGAGTGAAAGGACCTTGGAATTGCATCACTTACATTGCCGTCCTTTGTATTAGCTAGAGAGAAAACAATCACCGGTGGCGCCGTTCTGGGAACCCTGTAAACCTTAGGACAATTGTCACCTCTAAGTGTTTACGATTCCTTAGACCGTCACACAATCAGTCATAGACGAACGAGTATGCCGGCTCCAGTCTGCCATAATAATGATCCCTGACCGCGGAAGAAGGACTTTATGAAAATTAGCTCCACTTTGCACTCAAAAATGTTTGCCAAAGGGGTCCGGGCATTTGTCGGGCGATCAGCCAATCACCACCCGAATTCCCCTAACGAGAGTAGATGAACCTTCACCCTCTACCCTCTACTGGAGCTGCACTCGCCGGGTCTGAGCTTCTGTTCTCGGTCACGAAACCCGTCTTGACCAGTTTTAGTGTAGCACGAACTGAAAGTGGCAAGGGACTATGACGATCATCCCTACAAACCCAGCTCATCGAGGCTCACCCAACCCTTAAAATCATTTAGCCGCTCACATACCTAAGGAACGCGTTCCCACTGAGCACGGAGATTCAGCGGAAATTTTGGAGGCGTGTTGATCGGAATGCCTTCGATGCTTTGTCTTCGGGGAAATTGATCTGCAGTGCTACAATTACATCGGGTTATTTTCCTGGATTATAAGAAGGGTAGCCGGAACTTGATGCTCGGTATCTCCAAAATCGCATCTGATCACCATGGTCGGCTTTGTGGATCTCTTGGCTGGCGCCTGCCTTCTCCCGGCAGTTTATGGCTTCAACTCTATGCCCTTTCCAAGGGCCACCACTAGCTCGGCGTATCACCAGTTCAGCCTCCCTGCCTCTGCCGACATCGGTGCAAACTTGATCGCTAATATCGATGACCCCGAGGCTATCAACGCACAGTCCGCCTGTCCTGGGTATAAGGCATACAATGTGCAGAACACTACTAACGGGGTCACGGCCACCTTGCAGTTGGCTGGTCAGGCTTGCAATGCTTATGGAACGGATATCGAGTCCCTGGACTTGACCGTCGAGTACCTTGCGAAAGACCGCCTGAATGTCCTCATCACACCCAGCCATGTTGATGCCTCTAATGCTTCTTGGTATCATCTCGACGAGCATGCTGTACCCCGTCCTTTGGCCGACAAGAAAGGCGCTTCAGACGACGAAAGTGATCTCGTGTTTACGTGGTCCAACGACCCTTCTTTCAGTTTTACGGTGATGCGCAAGTCTACTGGAGATGTGCTCTTTGACACCGTGGGATCCGTCCTGGTGTACCAGAATCAGTTCATTGAATTTGTCACCGCCCTGCCCGATAGCTACAACCTGTATGGCCTTGGGGAACACATCCGGCAGCTGCGCCTTCTGCCAAACGCTACCATGACCATCTATAATGCCGATGCTGCGGATCCAATTGATAGGTAAGTCACTCAGCCGTTCGCGGAATATCGCGCTAGAATTGGCACCGACATTGATGATTTTAGTAACATTTATGGAACCCATCCTTTCTATCTGGATACCCGTTACTATGAGATCGATGACCAAAGCAACCGAACTCCCGTTTCGAGCGATGATGCAGACCCCGAAAAGGACTATACGTCCTACTCCCATGGTGTTTTCCTGCGAAACGCCCACGGCCAGGAAATCCTCACAGGAGCTCAGAATCTGACCTGGCGTACGCTCGGTGGTAGCATTGACTTAACCTTCTACGAAGGCCCTACCCAGCCTGAGGTGACCACGAACTACTTGAAAAGTACCATCGGATTGCCTGCGATGCAGCAATACTTTACCTTTGGCTATCACCAGTGCCGCTGGGGTTACTCCAACTGGTCTATGGTGGAGGACGTTGTAGCAAACTTTGAAAAGTTTGAGATTCCTCTCGAGAACATCTGGTAAGACGAGAACAAACTTTCCTGTGGTAAACCTTCGTGGAATAGGAGCTGATGCAATGATAGGAACGACATTGATTACATGAAGACTTGGCGTGATTTCGATAATGACCCGGTTCGTTTCTCCTACGGTGAGGGACAGAAATTTCTGGAGAAGTTGCACAAGAGCGGCCGTCACTATATACCTATTGTCGATTCAGCTCTGTATATCCCAAACCCGCACAACGAATCCGATGCGTGAGTTCCACATGCCACCTGAGAGAAAATTTCCTGACCCATCATTAGCTATGATACGTATACACGTGGTGCCAAGGATGATGTCTTTATCAAGAACCCTGATGGAAGCACATACGTCGGCGCTGTCTGGCCTGGATACACAGTGTTCCCCGACTGGCACCATCCCAAGGCTGGCGCCTTCTGGGCCAATGAGATTGCAACCTGGCACGACAAGATTCCTTTCGATGGCATCTGGATTGACATGAGCGAGGTGTCTTCCTTCTGTGTCGGAAGCTGCGGATCTCACAACCTTAGCATGAACCCTATCCTGGGTACCACCCTCCCTGGAACCCCCGGAAATCTGGTTCTTGAATATCCGGAAAGCTTCAACGTCACTAACTCGACGGAGGCGACTTTGGCCTCGGCAGCATCGTCGAGTCAGGCTGCCGCTATCGCTGCCACTTCGTCATCTGCGGCAAACTATCTACGCACTACTTCTACTCCGGGTGTGCGCGACATCAATTACCCTCCTTATGTGATCAACCACGTCCAACCCGGCCATGACCTCGCTGTGCACGCCGTGTCCCCCAATGCGACACATTCGGATGGTGTCCAGGAATACGATGTGCACAACCTCTTCGGAACTCAGATCCTCAACGCCACTTATCACGGTTTGCTTGCTGTCGCCCCCGAGAAGCGCCCGTTCATTATTGGACGTTCGACTTTTGCAGGCTCTGGCAAGTGGGCAGGGCACTGGGGAGGTGACAACTACTCCAAGTGGGCATACATGTTCTTCTCCATCCCCCAGGCGCTGTCTTTCTCTCTATTCGGTGTTCCCATGTTCGGCGTCGACACCTGTGGCTTCAACGACAACACCGATGAGGAGCTCTGCAACCGCTGGATGCAGTTGTCTGCATTTTTCCCCTTCTACCGAAATCACAACACCCTTGGCGCCATCGCCCAGGAGCCGTACCAATGGGAATCTGTCATCGAGTCTTCCAAGGCCGCGATGAAGATCCGTTACGCCATCCTGCCGTACTTCTACACTCTTTTCCATCTGGCACACACCACCGGATCAACTGTCATGCGCGCACTGGCCTGGGAATTCCCACAAGACCCTTCCTTGGCCGCAGTCGACACTCAGTTCCTCCTCGGTCCCTCGATTATGGTTGTCCCAGTCCTCGAGCCCCAGGTCGACACCGTCAAGGGCGTCTTCCCTGGCGTCAAACAGGGTGAGGTCTGGTACGACTGGTACACCCAGACTGCGGTTGACGCTGAACCAGGCGTCAACACTACCATTCCCGCTCCTCTGGGCCACATTCCCGTGTTTGTCCGTGGTGGCAGTGTTCTTCCTATGCAGGAGCCTGCTCTCACCACCCGCGATGCCCGAAACTCTCCGTGGTCCCTTCTCACCTCACTCAGCGGCAAGGGCACTGCATCTGGCGAGCTTTACCTCGATGATGGCGTGAGCATCTCGCCTGGGGCTACCCTCGATGTCAAGTTCCATGCCACTAACTCTAGCCTTAGTGCTATAGCCTCTGGTAACTGGAAGGAGACCAAACCGCTTTCGAAAGTTACTATCTTGGGTGTGTTCCAGAAACCTGACGGCATGACTCTGAATGGCAAGGCTATCCCCGACTCAGTCGTGCAGTACAATGCTACTTCGCATGTCTTGTCGATCGGTGGTTTGCAGAATGCTACCTCCGAGGGAGCTTTCAGCAAGAACTGGGTTTTAAAGTGGTAAGCGATGAAAATGTGAAAGAAAGAAAGACGACGAGCGATTTATAGGGTACAAAATAATTTGAAAGCCAATGCCATTAAGATCATGTCCTCAGACAAGATAGATTGCACCTGTAAAGAGCAACGAACAGAAAGATGCGGTTTTCTATACAAAAGAAATCAATTGCAACTGACCTCCATTTCAATTTCCGCGAGTACACGGGTCGGTTCCCAAGCACACTAAGCCCCAGACCGAATGGCAATCTCGGCATCTCCGGGAGTCCGAAGGAGAATCCAGGCCTTTAAACCTGATCATTAAATAGTCAATGGCAGCTTGCGTAAAGTCATGAGTTGATTTACTTGGACGAAGATTCGGAAGCCCCCGACAGCTCGAGCCGTTGAACATAGCCCGTCGCGGGCCACACTACTTGAAGTCGTACGCCTACGTCGGCTCAGAGATGCCTAAGCCGAATACGCAGATTGGACTGCCTGACCTCCCATGAGATGCTGGCCTTTCTTTGTACCCACACTTGGGCTTGAGCGGGACCAGAACAAACGGACTCCTCGCTCGTGAGCTGCAGAGTATGCTTCGTTGAATGCCACAAAGGTCCTGTTGCTCAATGGCGTAAAAACCAACTCGTTTGATGACATGTACACGACGCCATTCACTTGGCTGTTACAAGCAGGGCCAAACAATGACCAGAATGCGCTCATGAAGGCTCATCTGACAAGAGAGGGAGCAAAATACAAGGTTGCTGAGCGACGATGGGTTTTGGGAAAATTTAACTTGTTCTAACGGAATAGAAGGCATTTTAGTCGTGGGTAAAAGGTGACTTGACAGCTATAGAGGCATGATAGGTTGTCCTGAGATCAAGCGTGATATATATACACACCAGGGATAATTTCTGTCTTTGTACAGTCAACTCTCAGTTATTGCACACCCTTCTATCCAAGGAAAATTGTGTGCAATGGGCGGGAGGTGCAATGATGAGAGAATTATGTAATCAATTGGTCAGCTAGCCCTAAGCCCTATTGCCTATTTAAGCTTCCATCCCATATCCTCCAAGGTCACCTAACGCTTCTCTTCCATCTGAATTCGGCTGAAATCACTGATTAAGCTCTCAATCTGACGTATATGGTCAGATGTGCTCTTTTCTTTGCTTCCAGCCCATAGTAATATGCCCTGCAGATGAACCATGACCTTAGAATTAGATAATATCTCTGGTGGTGGGCCGTTTTCTTCAATATCTTGTACTTCCGAGCTCTCTGTATTAATATATATATCTTACCCATCGGTCTCATCTTGCCCATCGGTCTCATCTTTAATAATATCTTCCTCTATTGGATTTAAGAATTGATCAAATAGTATAATATCATTATAACCAAGCTTCTCAATTGCTTTATTATATAGAGTTTGAATCTCACTAGTCATGTAATGGTTACTAAGTTGTCAGGCTAGAGACCTGTGACTAGGCAAGGATATCGGATAGTAGAGATCAAATAGAACAGTTGATATACAGAACTGATTCTTGCAGGACAAGAATCGTAGCTATTGTTCGTGCGTTTTAATATTGCTAGAGCTTGCTAGGGCTTAGGGCAGTCATGCATTAGCGGGTGTATCGTGGTAGATTCGCCCGCGGAGCGGCCATGAATCGTACTCGAATCGTACCCGAAGGGATTCAGGAATCCCGTGACAAGTCAACCCTGGCTTAGAAGTTAGAGGATATAGTTTAGAATCAGTTTTGGTCTGATCTTTAGAGTTCAGACGAATCAAAGAGCTTTTAATAAAATAATTCTTAATTGTTTGATCTGATACTGAGCTCTTCTAAACCTGAGTGATCTAAAATAGTGTATAGGAGATATTTATCTGAATATATAGGTCAAGACCTCGATCAATGATAGCAATTATCTATCTTATCTATTTCTTCCGATAATAGTGTTTTAAATTTTGAATAATTCCTTGATCCAACGGTTGATAAATAGATGTTGTGTTTACTGGGAAAAAAAGAATCCTGATACGGGTAGGTGGCGGGGCAGACTTTAGGCTAGTAATATATAGAGAAGTATTATCTAAAAGTAGTAGTGCTTTCTTATATAAAGGAATATATCTATAAAAAGCATGTAACCACTCTACTATAATATCTTGACGTATCTACGCTTTCTTATTTAAACGCTAGATATATCCCAAATTTTAGAGGTTAACTCCCTGGAGAGCACGTGGTGTTTTTGTTCTTCTAATTAACTATAAAGATATTCAGTCTGAACTATCTGTATTTGTTGTTACAATAAGAGAGATTCGAGTCTTATCTTTCTTTTTTCCGGCAATTTTTCTATCAGAAAGACCCCTATTTGGTATTTGTCGCCAGAATAGGCCAGTTTCATCTATATTGTATATCTCAGATGGTTTATATTGATCGTATATCAGACGAATCCCTTTCATCTCATCATAAATAGAAGATGGGACCGAAGCAGCTTCTCTATAGAAAGTATAATATCGTAGATTATATTGGTTTTTGAAGCGTGTAAGCCAACCTTCCGAGAAAGCAGGTTTTTATTGATTTTGATATTCAGGGATTCGAGACCAAAACTCGTTTACTTTAATCTGAATTAAAGAGCCAGTAATTAGATAACCACCATTGATATGCCCGATAGCCCAATCAGAGAGCTTTTAGTCTAATATAGGCCAAAAAGATGAGGAAGCACGCATATTTGACCCTGTAGGCCCTGTATCAAGATATTCATATTGGGACGAAAGAATTCTTAAGACTGATGTATGATTAATCTTATGGTTAAATTGGGACTGAAACCAATCTACACATACAGATTGGGTCGGTTTAGGGTTGGAATTAGACCAAAAGGCACGTAATGCCTGCTTCTGTATGTCTGATATGCCCAATCGGCTACGTTTTGGTGGTGGCAGGGTAGTTTATATGGCCGGTCTGACGCATGGTAGGAGTGGAAGATCAGGCTTTTCAGACATTCTGATTGGTCGATATTGATAACTAAGCAGATGACTCAGCTGAAAAGTTGTGTGAAAAGGTGAGTGTGAAATAAGCGGGAGATTTGTATATAAAATCAAAAAAAGTGGGTCCATCCAAGCAAACTGTGTCTCATACGCGGGAGTGTGCAATAAGTCGGTGTGCAATAACTGAGAGTTGACTGTATTTAGTTTACTGTACTCCAAAAAGCTATCACGGCATGTTTTTTTTCTTTATCAGTCACATTTTAAGTTCGGCATCGCACACATTTCGGAGATGTGGGAATTATCCAAGAGAAGACCATGAGAATGAGGTTGCAAGAGCAGATTGTATTATATTCTCTTTACAGTAGAGCAGAATTATCGTAAATCACTCCACCAGCCACACGATAACGATTTGTTCCTAAGATTTTTGAACTAGATTGTGACGAATCCTGGGGTGCTTCGGTCCTACCATTACGCCATCTGGCCAGAATGGCACAAATAAGAGTGTTTGGTCAGCGACCACACATTCAAGCTACTACGGTAGCGCTCAACTATGGTCTTGCTATTGAAAAACCCATGCCGTGCCAACTTAGTGAACACCTATTCTTTGGAGGGACGCACTTTTGTGTCTTTCGTAGAGTAGTGTATGCAAACGGCACGGGCACCCGCTACTTGCGGTGCTTTTCGCTGGAACGGCCGAAACGTAATGGAAAGCGATTCCAAGGACGCCTTGGGGAATTTTTGGGAGTTGCACAGAATTGGGCAATCTCTCATACACCATCATTCTCTGGAGGCTTCTGGCTTTGCTCGCTGATCATTCACTGTTCAACGTTGAGGCACCAGAGTGGATATGGTGGCCCCACCTCGACCCACGGGCCGCACCGGTGTGGATCCAAGGCACCCGGTGTTGGCTCAACTTAATGACCATGCATTGTTATCGTCTTGCCAATTTGCGCTGCCCACGGTTCACATTATGCTTGAGGGGGGGTGGCAACTTTTACGTTTCCTCCTGGGCGTGTATCCTGTGTTGTGTTCACACCTCGTGCGCCCACACAAAGGTGGTAGAAGCGGGGCGAGCAAATGCATTTTGCTTGTAAGTATTTATTTTCCGCTGAATTAATGGGTCAGAGAAAGCCAGGACAGTAGTCGAGTCAGTAATCAAAAGGAGGCCTTTTTAGCGCTCGCCTTAACTTTCACTTTTCAACAGGTATCTGCCATTCCAAATATTGTTGATCAAGCTCCTGCTTGCTCATCGCTGTTGATTCAACTGATTCGCGCGTGAATAAAGTTTACGACCTCGTTTTCTACATCCCCAATCAGCCTTACTCGGACTAGAAATTCACCTCCACGATTCCTCCTTGACAACTATTTGTCATTCCGCATATTCCTGGGACCTCTCATGTTTGCTCATCGCTGTTGATTCAACTGAATCCGCTGGTGAATGAACTCTGGTGTCTCAATCGGCGGCTCCTCCACTTTCTTGGTGGCATGCAGGCCGCATTCTACCTGAATCTTAATCCTTGTCAAGTTTTTGTCATTGGCTCTTTGCTGCTCCTGTTTGCTCACCACTGGCGAGTGGCCATGTTGCTTGAGCGCAGAAAACCGCTTGCTGGTATGCCGTTTTCCCTCTTGCCTAGAAATCATCAGAAAGTCTCACAATTTGCCACTCTTGATCCAAGCGAAAGACGAGGCACTCCGCCCTGGAGGGTATAAATATGCTCCCACCCGTCTTGCTTGACTTTCCTCTTGCAACTCTCCTCGCACATCTCATTTGCGAAGATTGACTTTGATCGTCTCCTTTTGTCTACTACCTGTGAGTGTACCCTGTCATCAGCTCAAGATTATCTATCTCTCACTGATAATACTCTTTCTCTAGGACTGATATACGAGGACTTCAATACGTGAGTACCACCCTTCCTTAGTGAAAGCTTACACTAACACCGTTTCTTCCTCGGTTCCGCTAGACTTCCAATCTGTCCACCGGGGCAGCAAAATCTCTACCAAGGTGAGGTGTCAAATTGGTTTGATCCATGGAAGCTGTACTGTGTCCTATCTAACGATCT